ATGGTTCTCTATTGAAGGCATCAACTGGTCCATTGGCGATGAGGGTAAGACAGTGAACTTATCCTCCATCACTCTTGATTATTAAAACTATGGATCTCCTAAAGAAGGGGATAAATATTGACCAAGGTAACGTAGGAAACGTTTTAAAAAATATTCTTTATTCGATTGTAAACACTTCAGAGGTAGAAGAGACAAAGTAACAATACACCCCGAGAATGCTGGCACATCAAGAGCCAATCCTAGGGATAATTCCGAGAATCCTTGCACATCAAGAACCAGTAACCAGGAGCGCATTCTCTTGGATACGCATAAAATTATAAAGGAATGACCAACTAGTCCTTTAGGTAGATAAGAGGCAAATGGCGGTGGTAATGGACAATAAATAGATCACGGAAAATGAGATAATACGGGTGAGATACCCCAATTGTTTTGCAGGCAATTGGTCAAAGGATCGTCTTCATTGTGTGGTGCTAAGAGCGGCAATGCATAATGATTCTGCCGGTAAAGCGTCTGGGAATGTTCCAAGTCAACAAATTATTATGTATACTATAGACTCCTGACAGTATGACCATGTTTAGAAAACAAGTTAAAACAACTTCTGTACAAGGCATGGAAACCACGACCATACTAAAAGCCACACTATATTAGTCTTCATACCTTCAATAATTATTCGAACCTCATTTTTTCAAAATCATACCTTCTCTTTTCCCTTTAACTACTTGTCTTTTATCTTTTGGTATAGATAACATGTCCGGATCTTGTTCCTAATTATCATGCTCTGGCAAATGCACAATTGACCTCAAATCTCGATATAATACTTCGCACTGTTTGTTGGGCTGAAGCAAACCAACTTTTATCTGCACAATTTAATTTACCGGCCTCCACAGTTAGACAAATATGGTAACTATTTTCTTAATACCCCTATCTTTACATTTATTTGATTCATTTATTCTCATTTAATTTATTGCGAAATTTCGACTTAATCACATGTTTGTCTGCTAGGCTACTAGCTGATCTAGATGGAGATTCAAAACTTACTCAGCATGAATATTGTATTGCTGCTCATCTAGCTTGTTTGCATAGTGCTCAAGGCGTGCAACTGCCATCAAGTAAAACTGATTTGCTAGTCTTTTTAATATCCCAAAGAGTTCGGGAAAATAAAAACAACTGCAGACAAGCCACTTTTCGAAAAACTTCCTCTCCTGTTAATGAGCTCTATTCATCCGCTTCTATTCCTGGGAATGATAGTTATTCTTCCTCTTTAATAAAACATGGCTCTCCTGAGAGGCCTCTTTCCGAGTCATCATTCACTAATCTTTATCAGTTCTCACCTATTCAAAGCACTCAGATCGGGTCAACTAAAGCCAGGCTTGGACACTCCGTTGATGCTAAAACCTCTTATTCTCAAATTGCAAAGTTTACTATGAAGAACGAGGGACACCTAGATATCTTCGAGATAGAGGACAGGATGACTCGATCTGCCTCTTCCGCCATGCTTGATTTTAAACCAGTTCAGACTGTATTTGACTTAACAGGTAATTTTTACTTTCCATTAATCTTTCATTTATTCACGTGTTAAGACACTTCTATTTTACAGCACATCAAATCTAATTAAAAAATAAATTAAATAAATTACTCTTTTTTAGACGATCCAATGATCCCTTTTGTGTATGATTCATCAGATGATGAAGATGACTATACTCGACCCGATGCACAAGATCCCCTGGGTGTTTCGTAAGTACACTAAAATGGGATAACCTTTTAAAATCTGTTCCATTGGGATTAACTTAATTGTCAGGTTTCCTGTATATTAATCACGTCAAATATTGCAATCATCTTCCTGTCATTTTCGCCCAACAATAATTTATTTGAAGTTGTTTGACCTTGTTTTCGCAACTCGATCATGTTGGTAGGAAGACTTAAAGAAACGCACCTAGTCC